ATCTACAAACATGCATTTACACCTTGGGAAAATAGTTACCTTCGTTATCTGGACATCAGCTGTGCATCTAAGACCTCAGTGATTTTTGCATAATCCATCAAACATTGCACAGCTTTTTTAGGGCCACATCAAAATAACCGATTAAAAAAAAAATACAACATTGCCTGTATCCTCAGTACAATCTAACGGTCTGCAATGACACTACAGTTGTTTCATTGCTATACTCTGAACAAAAACTTGCTCAACATTGCTGGGTTTCCTAGCAAAAACAAATGAAAGGCTTCAAGCCGAAACCGAAGACTCTTTGATTGTCATACAAAATGAAAATAATGCAATACAAATGTATTTACTGTCTCCTAGATTGGAGAAAAATGATTCACATTGTTATTCACATCCAACAACATGACTGATTATCTACTCAATGGAGCAGTTTACGCGTGCACCTCGTGCCCGTCAAACTGATACGAGAGCGATGAGTGGATGTACTCCTGTCCGGTAGCGGAGTCGTACCTCATGAGGCAGGAGTAGTTTTCAGGCTGCACGCAGTCAAACTGCAGGTCCAGCCACTGCCTGTGAGAACCAGTGTGCCTCCTGGCATCTGTCAGGATCCGGTTGAGGGCCACGATGTAGCTGAGGGCCATCTGCAGGGTTTCATACTTGGACAGCTTCTTGTCCTGGCCCCACTGTGGGACCACCTTACGTAAGCGATCAAAGGCTGTGTTCAAGCCCTGCATCCTCTTCCTCTCTCTGGCGTTGGCAGCCATCCGGCGCCTCGTGGCAGTCTCGTACTTCTCCGGGCTCTTGGAGTCCAGCTCTGAAGATTCGGATCCAGAGTCGGTGCAGCTGGGTCGACGGGCCTTCATGGTTTTTGATTGAAGACTCAAACTAATCAGATTTATCAGAGAGGTTCCTACTTTCAAGATTCAGTGCTTCTCTGAGCTTTGATTTATTTGTTTTTCCAAGGCTTTCCCTGTGGGCAGGGGTCTCAAGTATTTGCAACTCCAAGGAGTGCTCAGTCTGAAGACTTCAAGGTGTCTGTGATCCTGGAGACATCGGAGCAGCTTTTATAAGACAAAGCAGACGAACAGGTGGCAGCAGGTGGAGCCCCTGCCCCACCCCCACCCTCAATATTGCTCATAGAGAAAAACACACCCATGGAGACTCATAAACACCCACACCCACTCCTAGGCACACACACACACACAAAACCTTAATGAAATTCCAATTATCTCGGGCTGGGCTATCTGGCCATGGCTTCACTCGGAGCCATGTGTCACAAAGACCAAAAGTCTACCATCTGGTAGCTCCACTCACCAGTGCTGAGGATGCAAACGAACTAATGGAGGCTAAGATTGTAGATACTTCTCAGTTATGTAGAAGCTCTAATGTAAAACCTACTAATAAACTATAAATGCTGGACTTCTAATTAAGTTAAATGCAAAAATAGATTTCTTGTATTAGAAGCTAAAACTTCAACACAAAAGGAATTTTATAAAAATCAAGTTTATAAATGAGTCTTTTCAGGTCTAACGTTTATTTTACGTTGTTGTCTTTAACCGTCAGGATTCAGTCTTTACAATATATCCGATAAATTAAATATGGACTCTTGGCTATAAAGCGATTATTAAGTCACATAAGCCATCGAGAGGAAGCCTTTCACTTAAAATGTAATTGCCTCTGTGCGACGAGAACCATAATCTGAGATTAGCCTGAGGCAACACGAGTGTAAGTGAGGCCTGTAACCTGAGGGACATTAACAGCACATCAGGGGATTATGACTTTCAAACAATACGGAGCAAGATGGTGTAAAGATTACTGCACCGGTGGAGGATTTTTTTGGGGGGGGTGGCAGCAGTTTATGTTCAGATGTGGAGACTTTTATAATTGTCTTTTAAGGCTTTTTATCAGTGTTTTGGCTGGTAATGAATGAGAGTGTATGGGATGCATTAATGTTCTTTATGTACTTGGGTCTGCATGCAATATAAATAATTGATCTGTTTAGTCGGCCGAGAAAATTAAACAGACAGAATAATTTGTCTGTCTGTCCTTCCCATCTGCCCACGCTGTCATTCAGCAGGTTCCAGTGACACTCAGACTTATTCTGCTGAAACACCATAGATGTCATTTGACTTCAAAATAGCAATGTTTTCATCACTTTTACACACTTGCACTGTACTTACATGTTTTAATATACTTCTAGGTAACTATTCTGAGATGAAGTACAGCTAAAACTTATGGAATCAAATATTAAACTTCCAGATTTTAATAATCCATCAGTATAATACACTGTGAGCCACATACAGCCCACTGTGATCTTAAGTGGGTCAGTGTAAAGACATTTAAATAAACATTTAATCACTCATATGTCTGAATATATGAAAAATAAGTGCAACAGTAGATCTCATTTGTATTGTATTTATTTTCTTTTTGCTTTTTTTTTTTTTTTTACCATGGAGAAAAAACAACAACTAACAAACAGAAATTTTTACAGTACATAGTAGAAAACAGGAACTTTTCTGTTACTTAACTATTTCAGTTCATTATTGAATACCAGTTGAGGTCTTTATCAATAGGAAATGCAGTAAAACATGAAAATACAGTTAAAAGTTAAAAATCTACACCCTCTTTCACGATTTCCAAAGTTGCCCAGAGGGCCTGATTGGAGTCATTGCTGGGCTTCTTCTGGCCCCTGGGCCTTATGTTTGACACCTCTAATTTACATAATAAGATTGTATTCTTAAAAAAAAAAGGGACTCATGTGTTTTATTCAAACATTGAATTCAGCACTTTTGTTTATAATCCAGCTCTTTTACATGATAACTCTTTTTCTTTAACTGCTGCTGTTGCTGTGTTTTGTTGTCATTCTTTGTCAGGAAGGACATGCAGCTCCTGCCACTGTGTATTGACAGGCTCAAAGCTTGGGTGTAGAGGCAGGTTATGAATGATTAATCACTGTCGAAGCCCGAGCATAATGCCCGTCTCTGGTATTGGGTCAAGCACACAAGCTGATGCTGTCTGGTCATTTTGGGATGGACTGGTTAGCTGTGCAGTTAGGCATGTAATCCCATCTACCAGTTGGTTAATTGATTACAGATTGATGCAGTTTGCCAGCTGCTGCTTGTCTTGTCTGAGGGGCTCGTCTCGACGTTGCCCTGCCCTTACGTGCCTTCCACCCTTTTCTTTTTTTGCAACCCCTCATACGATTGGCTTGTCGGAGCACCGATGGCTCAGCCATGCCCCTCTGTCAAAAGCCATATGTCACATCTGAGGAGTGATTGGTTTGCTCTGAGAGAATCATGCACCCTCAAAAATCCAGATCTCCTCGTGGAGAAATAGAGATTAGGGAAGAAAGTGTATGCTTTAGTGCAAGCGAAAGTGTAAGACCAGGTTTAATCTACATTGAGTTAATAAATCTCATTATCATCAGGATCCACCTTACCTTAAACAAGCAGCTTAAATAAGATTACACTTGCTTTCAGAGGAAATGCTTTGTGTGCTAAACCTCTCCTCAAACACATGTGAGCGCTTATCAAATGTATTTTGTGACAGTTACTTACAAAACTGTGTTCGGCACATTGATGTTACAGTGCAATGGAGACAGTAACAGTTATCAGGTTTAACGTATTTTAAAAGACATCAAAGCAATATTCATTACGAAATGAGCTGTAAGTGTAACGAATGAAGCTTAAAAAAAAATCTAAGAATAAAAAACAAACAAACAAAAAAACCCCACAAAACACTTGATTGTTTACTGCTTTACAACACCCACCCACACACAGCACCCAGTTAACAAGTAGGCCTGGCAGCTGGTCAGATGAGGCAGCGAGTATAATTGGGTCACGTAAGGTGAACATAATTTTATGCCTGTTTGAACTCTCATCCTCTATAATTGGACTGATTAGCAATGCTTAATTGGCTTCTGAGCTTTCCCATTTGCCTTGTATTTGGCATTAGTTTAAGCTAATAGGACTCCAATTAGAGCAGAGTCAAAACAGGCTCATAATCGTGAAAGCAAAAAAAAATAAAAGTGGATTTTAAAACCCTCTTAGATGAAAATATTTAAATGAACTGTAATCAAACAGACCCGAGAAGGAAATGGAGAAGATGTTTTTTAGGTGCTTTTGGAGCTGTTCCAGCAAAGAAAACACGTCACCCATTTGAATAAATATAACTTCATTCTGAGAAGGAGAAAACTATTTTACAATGTGCAATTTTACATTAGCTGAATGTGTGCCTGCAGTCTTTTTTTTTACTTGAATGCTCAGTAGTAATGGCTGCTTTTGTTGTATATGACTGTCAGTGACGCATTTTCAGTCATTTTCAGACTCATTCCTCTGGGTAACACTTCTTGAACTTTAGTTTGCTTTTAAGCAGATCGATTATCTCACCTGAAATCAAGGCACCGGTGAGCGCTGAACATGGCTGTATAATGACTATGAGAAGAGCCTGCGTGTTTCTTTAGTTATTTTGTAGTCTTCATCAGCCGTAGGCAAACATGCACATGAAAAACGTGATGCAAAATGTGATGAACCTCAAGGAAGAACCCCACCCTCCTAGAGCCATTTAAATACACCGATCTAAATGGCACATTCAAACGTCTAATATATACTATAAATAAAAACGTACAAACTACTTTCTATGTAAAGTCTTAAAGAAACTATTGCTACCAATACAGGTATATATGTGATTTGCAGTACAAATACATGGTGCCAGGACCACTCTTTAGTAGAGGACAAAATATTAAGAACAGATCTTCAGCAACCTCGCCATCATAGCCAAGTATGATGTTGACAATAAAACAGATTCATTCAAAAACTTCACGCATGAAACTGAACTCCACTGATGGCTCATGAGCTAAGACTTTGCAAATCTGTTATTTTTTTCTGTAGGTGAAACACTCATTGTATAACTTGAGTAAATAGGAATGGTGACAAACCCCCGCTATCAGTGCTGCATCTTTAACACAATAAATCTCTGCCGTCCTAATCTGAATCCGTCACTTCAAATGCATCACACAAAATCTGCTCAGGTAATCGCTCTCCTCAGAGAGGTCGCAGTATCTGTTTGGAGGGTCCCTCCCCCTGCGCCAGCTCTCACAGTTCTTCGCTCTCCAGTGTGGCCTCTGGTGGGGAGCTGGCGAACAGGATGGGGCTGGTGTCCGACGTGGGGAACACTGACTTGATGTCGAGCCCCTGGCCTGTCAGAGCCGCGTATCGACTTCCTGTTCGTGGAGTTTTCTTCATGGGTGCGGGGATGCTCTGATGCCACTGTGCTAAAGGTGGTAGCTAGCATTACTACACAGAGTGACGTACCCAAAAATGCCGTGGATTTCTTAATAAAAGTGATAGCTACTCAGCTGTACAGAATATTTACCATATATATCAAGTCTGCAGGTGCATGAAATGACTCCAGCCTCGTTTTTTGCTGACACTGTGTACCAGCCTGCATCGTCTTTTGTTGTCGGCTGGATAAGGAGACACACATATCCTGTGGCGTCCTGGGTCATGCTGAGGTAGAGAGATGATAGAGAAATTTGATTCAATTTCAAAAGAGTTTAAAATTTGTTATATGGATTTTGGCCGTGTCTTTTTATTGGACATACAGACAGGAAATTAAGAGAGGAGGAGAAGAGGAAAGCGGGTATAACATCTGAATTAAAGTTGCCAAATTTAACCGCTCAGGCTTCTAAATTCATTTCTAATTAAGGCACGGCTCTGAAACCGTGTCTGAGGGAGTCGGAGTTCTTACTAACCTGATTCGGTCTTTAGTTCTGGGAATAGTCTCGTTGTCTTTTTTCCAGAAGATGACCGGAGGAGGCATACCCACGACGCGACATTCCAGCCTTACTGGAGCTCCCTCAGGAATCCCCATGTTCTGCAGCTTCTCCACAAACTGGGGTGGGTGCTTCCTTTCCTTTTCTAAAACGAATATGTATAATTGAAATGTCCACATTCTGATTGTCAAAAAGCAAAAGTCCCAATCGTATTCGGTCCTTACCCACAACCTGCAGCTCCAGACTGAAGGAGCTCTGCCCTGCTTTATTGCTTGCGATGCAGGTGTATGTGCCGGCGTCTTTCTGAGTGAGAGGGTCAATGACCAGGGAATGGACGCCGTTCTCTCTCACCAGCATCTTGTGGTAAAGGTCTGGATAAACGGGCCTCCCGTTGACCAGCCACATAAGCTCAGGGTTGGGTAGGCCGCTCACCTGGAGAACAGAAACGTGTTACAGTGTGGGGAGGCAAGATGCTCGATATTCTTCCTGGCTTCAGTGGCACACGGGGACCTCCTGCCTACCTTACAGTCTAGTCTGCACAGTCTTCCCTCATGAGCCATCATGTCCCCTGGAGCCTGGAGGAAGTGAGGTTGAAAAAAGCGCCCCTGACTTTGTTCACCTTCAACTTCCTGTATGCGGTTTCGCACCCTGAAAACGTGGAGGCGATCACAGCATGTTATAGGAAACACACACATGAATCCACTTGGTTTTGTAAATGGCCACTAAGAATAGATCCCAGAATATCAATAACACTATGTTTACTTTTATAGGAATATTTCTGAAAAGTTTAGATGTTTCTTTCAAATGCTAAACAGAATGACTTAGATCTACAGTTATAAAGTGCTACCAAACCAATATTACTATCAGAGAGGATAATCTATATTTGCCTGTTCACCCTGCACACTCACCTCTGAGCATGAATGGGTGTCATTCGGTTTCGGGGAGGTCCCGTTTGGACTATTAAATGACCTGAGCAGCTGATTCGCCCCTGGTGATCAGTGAAATATCACATCACAGCTCAGCTCGAGCAGCTAGAACAAGGTGCTGATAACATGAAGAGGATATAAGTCAGAA